ATAACAAAAAAAATTTTTTTTTGTAAACTCTAATTTTGAAGTTAAAAATATTTTGTAAAAATGAAAAAGTCGATATTATTGTAAAAAATTATCGTATCAATTTTTTTAAAGAAATCATTTTAAAATAGAAAACTTACTTTAAAATACTTTTTTGTTTTGTTCGATGGTATTTCATCAAACTACAGTGTTTCAAAATAAAATAAAAATATTGAAAAGACATTAATTTTTAATTTTACGTAATAGGAACAAAATACTGTAGAAACAAAAGTAAAATTCAAAACGAATTTGTAGCTTTAACTAATTTTTTTAATACGTATTTTTAAACACTTCTCTAAAATTATTTTTTTTTAGATGTGAGATGTGAGCAAATCATAAACATTTCTGAATTTATAAATGGTAGTATATATCAATATACGTATATATTTGCACGCGCAATATACTATATGAATACGTATTCAGGTACACACGAGTTCCAAAAATCCAAAAACAAAAATTCATTTATAATTTTATATTACATGTATTGTATAAATTTTAATTTAAAATAAAACAAATTTTTTTAAGTATATGTATATTCTTTTGTATTGCATGAGATACATATAAAACTATAGATAATTTTTCACTTTCTAAATTTTCTTATGACTTATAAACTATTTGAAGGAAATTTATCACGTCATTATTTGTCTTAAATAAGTAAATAAACATAAAGTTTGTTATTTAAAGTCTTTATGGAAAAAATTAATTAAATTAGTATTGGTTAACCGTTGTAACACCAATTTTTTTTATAAAAGATATTATAAAAAAATGATTGAATCTTTAAGCTAAAGTTATCATAGTTAAATGACAACTTTATATACTTCTTTTCAAAGAATTTAAATAAACATTTAATTATTTCAAATAAATTGAAACATTATTTAATATCTTTTCGTTTATTTTTTAATTTACTGTAGTATATAATATATTATGTATTACGTCTTACCAACTTTGGCATGCTAACTGCCTTAGGTTGCGGACCAGGATTTCCTCTATATTCTTTACCCGATGCAACTTTTTGTCTCAGTTTATTGTGTACAGTTAATATTGTGTCTATATCTTCATCAGTAACGCCAACTTTATTTACTTGTTTACATGTTGCCGATGGTTTCGATGACTACGACATAATTTTGTAGAATTAGCTAAGCACATTTTTAATAACACAAATCAAATTCTCTCTTATAAAGCGATTTCAACAATCTTCTAAAGAAGAAAAATTAATACTTTTATTTAGATGAAATAAGATATTTTTTTAAGTAAATTTTTAATATATTTTTAGTAAGTTAAAAACAACATAGAACATCCTTATAAGAAAAGCTTTATGTTCTTTTCAATTTATTAAAAAAAATGTATACGTGTACATATAATACATGTAATCTACTTACGGTGTAAGTACACATTGTATGAGGCCCTTTAATTTTACATGTTTTTACATCGCAATAATCGTCTGTCGCGATTGTATTAATAAATACTCCTGCCATTACGGCAAAATACAACGGGAAAATTACAGCCATGTTGCTTTTCTTATGCTTTTTATTATTCCTTTTGAGAACTTTTTAAAGAATACAGCAGTACAGGATTCGATTCTTATTTATATACTATATGTTATCACTCGAAATTGTTATCATTAATATTATCGACACTATTAAATTATTATCTAGTTTTTAAGTACTTTCTTGTTTTTTTATTTTTTCTTAATAATTACATTATAATTGTTTTACAGAGCATATGCAATATTTACTAGAATTATTGTGAACCATGCAAATATTTTACAATTTATTTTTAATTCATTTTTATTACAATCTATGATTAATATTATTTTATATTAATTTGCATTTTAACATCAAAATGGAAAATTTTATTATTTAATATAAAATAATATGATTGGAAACGAGACCGTTTATATTAAAACTTGAAATACGGAGCGCCTTACCGGTCCGAGTGTCAAGATATTGAACTACTATATAATATACACTCATTTAAATTGAATTAATTTTCAGAAATAAATTGCGAGCCGATAAGATTATCGTCAATCATATTGTTTATACACGCTCGCCTATACATGCGTAACTCTCTACACATATCGGTTATTGCGAAGAATGTTGTTAAGGTCTCGGTAGTTTAAAGGCTTAGAACGCTTACACGGAATGGAAGAGATCCGAGTTCGACTCCCGACCGAGGCAATATTTTTTGCAATAAGTTTATTACAATTTTTTAAGATTTGGGAAAAATATTTGGGGGGATTATTTGTTTCAGATTGATTGTGTGAATCCGATAATCTTATCGGCTCACAATTTATTTCTGAAAATTAATTCAATTTAAATGAGTGTATATTATATAGTAGTTCAACATCTTGACACTCGGACTGGTAAGGTGCTTCGTATTTTAAATTTTAATATAAAGTTTCTTATTGCTGTTTTATATATTGGTAAGCATTTGGTGAGATAAGTGAGTTGATTTAAAAGGTCTTTTACAGTATTTTATACACTTAAAAATTATTTTATATACTTAAAAATTATTTTGTAGGACTTAGAAATACGTAATATAAGTTTTATTACAAATTTTATTATAAATTATATTATGAATATTAAGTAATAAAATTTATTGACAATTTAATTAAAATAAAATATTGCTTTATGATTAATAATCAGAAAATCTTGGAAGAAGTATTTATCTTATTTAAATTTTAATTGCATCTTTTTAAGTTTTTATGTTTATTATTATTATAGCTTATATTTCTCCTTATTTTTCTTTTTCTGTTATTACAAAATTAAAATAACATCAAAAGTTTAAAATATGTAATTTATAAATTTAAACTTTAATATCTAAATATATTGTTCTATTGAATTTATATTATATTTGAAAAAAAATCGCTATTAATGTTTTTCTCAAATTTAGCATAAGAATTTGACTAAAATTTAAATGAAAATATTAAATAATTTTTTTTACATAAATGATTAAAGACGATTACATTAAGTACGAACTGTATAAGGACATTATCATTATAAATGCAACAACTTTCTTTCTGATCTTTTTCAAAGCAATATAATTATGCAGTATTCTTATCAACTAAAAAGCCAATTTATTTCTTTCGCAACATAAATTATTGTTACAATTGTTTATATTTTCTGTTGTTTCTTTGTATTGTCTACACCTAGAAATAATATCAAAAAAAATATATAATTTATAAAAAAACTTTGATATCTCTCTCTAGATATATTATTTTATTGATTTCAGGTATTCAAAAAAAGTCACCATAAATGTTTCTATCATAATTTTATACATACCTGGCTTAAATTTAAATAAAAATATTAAATTATTATTTTTAATAGGAAATATAGAAAAACAATTACACTAGATACGTACGAATTGTACAAGGACATTATCATTATGTACTTATATCATTTATGTCATTTATGTCATTATACAAATTTATCTTTTTTTGTTACGAAATATTTGGTGATACGCATAAATGTAACAATTTAAAAAATTTTTCTAATATTTCTGAAATTTGTAACATAATTATATTCTTATCAAATAAGAGGTTAATTTATCTCTTTTGTAACAAATTTTTCTTATATTTACATGTATGTAATGTGAGAGGATAAATGCATAATGGTTTCTGTGATGTATATACATATAGAAACCAAGTAAAAACATGATGTCAAATATAAAATTATAAAATTTTGAAGAAGGAGTATACGTTAAACAATCTTAATAAATTCTTAATTAATTTTCAAATGCTATTATGTTCATAAATGAACAATTTGTATATGATGCAAACACTATTAGTATATTATATAATAGAATACATTTAAAATTTAATCTTATCTTAATTATGATACATTAATAATTACAACATTAATGAAATATTATTTCTTCTTATTCTATTTTATCATATGAATGTAAAATTTATTATAATTTGATATTATGTGCAACTTAATTACTTTAAAAGCATATTATATACAAAAATAAAAGATCATATAACCATATAATAAATATGTAATTACTTCATTTCGTGCAACGTGCTATTAGTTCTTACAACAGTGATATAATATTTTCTAGTAGCAAGATATCGTCTATTTGACGTAATTAATTGGTCATTTTTAACAAATCTAACATTCTACCATCATAAAAATGACGTGAATTTGTCACAGTCACATAACGTCAAATAAACCAACGTCAAAAATACGTCATTATTTTCATATTATTAACAATATAAATGAATAACGTTATTGATCATTAATAACGTTATTCATTTATTATTAATAATATCAATACATCATCGATTAGTGATTTATCTGACGTCAATAAGTATGACGTTGTAAATACATAAATAAATAATGTCATTAATTGGTAAAAAAGATAACGTCTATTTAAGATTACATATTAAATAGATCACTTGACGTCAATAATTCAAAATGACTAACTATTGTGAAAACATCAAAATGACTAACTATTGAATACATGAAAATGACTACAGTTTGCTACCTGGATTAAAGCTATATACATATATATATGTTATATATGAAATCTTTAACAATTATTTTAATACTATTGTTTTGTCTAAAAATAAAAATTTTGATTTGGATTAAATGGTATAACTTGAGATATGTAGTTCTATGTGAGAACGACGGACTCGTAAGTCCGAATTTAAATTCCATATTCTGTATATAAGAAAAAAATTGCATTAGTTAAAATTATGTCACATAATGGAAATATATAAAAAATCAAATATAATCAGGACATTGTGTGGCGTCATCAATGAGACAGGTCGCTACGTGTATCGGTAGTATACAGTAGTTCAGTTTGCTCATTATATATGCAGAAGGATGATAAAAAGCGCTCAAAGCAAACGCATTTAGTGTGATTTTTTTTATATTTTAATATTAAAAATAAACCTAGAATAAAAATGCAAATATCATTTTCCCATTATAATTTACACATGAGTGTAAATTATAGTTTTTTATTATTATTATTATAACGTATTTCTGCGTGTTGAACACGAACCGTTGATAAAAGTTAGCTGTCACGCCCAAATTTTGAAAAAATAACATTAGAGGTACTCAAAATATGAAATTCTTACCATGTTTCTCAAAATTGTAACACAATAGCTAACTTTTACCAATTTATTATTCCAAAATATGTCGGAAATGACTCTTCACACTTGTATAATAAAAGAAAGTCAAATTTGTTCCATGTGTATTTAACAGTAAAGATAGCAAACGCAATGGAAAGTTTTTATGCAATAGCACGAACATGTTAAGTTAGCAAATTTCCTAACCCAATAGTCTATTCCTATACTTATTCAAAAATATTATCTATTACGTTTAATATTTTCGCTGTTAAATATTTTTTGTAAAAAAAATATTAGAAAAATGGAAAACAAAGTAATATTACTTTTATAACATTATAAATAATTTAAAAGTAATCTAGTATTACTTTTATAATATTATAAGCTCTTTCTAAAATACATTTAGTGACATGTTTATATGAATAATAGGAATACTCAAAGAATTGTCTTCCAAACAACGGATTTATCTGCACATTTATTTATCTATTTATCTACTTATTTCCATGATGTTCAGCAGATAAATTAGAATCCATAATCTGAAATAACAAAAGTGTCAAAAAAACGTTACAATCGATGTGTACCTATACATTTAGTGTGTTTGTACATGACCATAATATAATAATTTTATCTTATTTTACAAAAAGTTTCTTTCCTTTGATTATAAACAAAACATTGAAACAAAAATATAAACTAAATAGTATTTATTATAAAGTATACATACAGAGCTATAATAAGATGAATTATTGAAATTATTAACTACTTTTTGGCAATTATAAGAAACAATTACTTACTTATGAAATATTATACCACAATCATGACATTCTGCATTTTGCTTTATGACAATAACAGAATGAACAAATTGAACAATAAATTGATACAATCGAGTCAGAAGAGCAAAATACACGATATACTACTCACTACTGCATCTGTTGAATTAATTAATCGTGTAATTACAAACTAAAGATAGAAAGAAAAACAGCTATTATTTAATAAAATATTAATTATAAAATTGAAAAATTTGTTGTAGATTGTAAAATATAATAAAAATAAAATATAAATCAATATAGTAAATATTATCAATTATTTAATGTTATCAAGCCATTTTTTTATGAATAATAGGGAGTTAAGAGTAAAATTTAAACGATTCAAAAATGTCGATTTGTAATATTAATCAAGTATCAAATGGCCATCTTTCTTATAAGGATATATGTATTAGATAGTCCCTGCAATGAAAATTAAATTTGGAAGTATATTTAATATTTACGGGGGAGAGGAAGAGGGCTTCAAATAAACTATATACATATTATATGAAAGTTGTGTGAATACGATATTTTTGCTTAATAATACATTTTTGTAGTTTATTTATTTTATTTGTTATTATTTTTATTGTTAAAAATTAAAATTTAAAAAATAATAAAAAAATTTACGTTGTTCTTTTATAAGTACTTTAAATTTGAAAATAATTTATGCAAAGTTTCATTGCAATTCACTAATTAGTTACAAAAAAACAAATAAATATTTTGTTTGTTTACTAGACAATTAGTTCATGCATCACAATATAACTTTTTGTCGTATTATTTTTAAACGTGATTTAAAATAATCTGTTATTTTTTCATAATTTTGTTATTATTTTGAAAATATGTAAAACACATCCTTAATTAAGTTTAAATAAAAGAAATTTTAAACTCCATTTCCCAACTTAACAGTGAAGTCTAAAATGGGCAGAATTGAATTTTTCTAAAAAAATGTTCTTTAAGATAGAAGTCAGAAGTTGCAAACGCTACGTCGTCTATACATTTAACATAAAAGGTTAAATAATAGACTATTGAGAGCTTGCAATTCTATTAGTGCTTATAAAATAAAATCGGCAGCAATAGAAGAACAAAAAAATTCAGCTGTGTTAATTTTTGCCCTTGTGTTGTTTTTTTATGGTCCTGCTGGTTTAAATATTGAATTAACAGCGCTACTATTTTCTTGGAAATGGCACATAATATACAATTGTTTTTGTGTGATAGTACAAAATAGTACAAATTCAATTCTATTGATTTTGTGATATTATATTTTTGTTTTTTTTTTATTTTGAATTGGTTCTATCAACTTAATATTAAACTAGCACCGCCACGATTTTTTTTAAAATGATACATGACAAAATTATTATTAATGATACAATTTACTACAAAATGAGTACTAAAAATTCCGATAGATTCGATTTGATTCTGCTGATTTGGTCTTGCTAACTTTATAGAATTCTAAATCATCATCTGCTTTTGTACTATTGATATGTATATTAATAGGCGATTGTTAATGCTGCACATCTATGTAGATACATACCTTTTATCAACATTCGTATATGCATTACTTGCACACACACACACATGCACGCACACACACACGCACGCACGCACGCACGCACGCACGCACGCACGCACGCACGCACGCACGCACGCACATAAATACATAAATATGCGTTTTCATTATATTTATAAAATTATATATCAAACTCCATATATCAAATAATTTTAACAACAAACTAATATTAAATATTATCTTTGTATATTTTGATTTTCTATCGCAGCACGTAATGAAAAAAAATTTATATTAAATAAATAGAAAAAGAGAGAAAATGGTAAATAAACAATAAATTTCGACGCATTATAAGTAAACAGTTTTATCTAATAAACATCTTTTTACTTTGAAATGTGATTGTTAAAACTATAAAATATTAACAACAATATTTAAAAATACGATTAAATTGTGATATAAAAAATTTAATCGCAATGTGGTAATTGTTGAAAAATTATATGATTTTTCTGAAAAAAAGCAAATAAAGATTATTTTAATTTAGAAATTTATATTTCACTTTCTGCTTTTAGAAAGCAATTTAGTATTATGTATTATTCTTTTATATCAGGACATTTGCTGTACTGTTAAATATAGCATACAATCTGTTGTGGAAATCCGAGCATTAATAAATCCAGAACCATGAAAAGCCTATCAGGTGAATTGAAAAATCACAGTCTGCTCAAATAAGCTTCGGCTTATCGTTATATGCATCAATAGAACTGGACGTTCGAAAGCGGCTCGATTTCGGGTCGCGCACTTTACTGAAAAATCATCGTTTTTTTTTCTCTACCCTCTTTTCTTTCGAGACTGTCGGACGTCAAAAAATGGGGGCCTTGGTGGGCGGGTGGCTATTCGAATCTTCAAGAAGAGATGAATGAAAGCCAGAAGTCCATTCACGCGCGCACCTGACTCCAAGCTTCAAGTCGTGAGAATCGATCCGGAAATTTTTCAAGATCTCTTTCTTTCACGCTCTCACCGTTGTAAATACTTTATCTGAACGTCTTCGAGAATATAGAATGTAATGTGCATAAGCATATTTTCTCAGCAATGTTTCTTAAACTGTCCCATAATTACGTTTGTGGTCTATGTTATTATATAGATTTCACACACACACATGTATATAGCGCGCACTAATAAAAAACGTGTAAAAAGAAGAAAATATGTAATATAGAGGTTTATTATCATCGAATTTAATTGTGATATTATAATATAATATATTTATATTAAATTTTAATTATTAATAATTGTAAAGTGACCTGGAATATTCTCTAGCTATACAATAAATTAATTATAAAATGCAGTTTATGTTATCTACTTTAAAAATTCTTTTTGTTAAATATTATTCTTTATATATTATTATTGAGAAAAATAGAACAGATTGATTATAACTGTACTATATAACAATAAAATGCATATTATTTCTAAGTCTAAAAATAAAAATAAATGCAGAATAAAAATTAAATTAAAATAAAAATAGTTTTGTATGCTTCAAGAATAAATCAAATATAAGTAAAATGTCTATATGTACCTCTGCAGTTGTGAGTGCATAAACAATATATTTATAATTTGTAAACAGAAATTAAATCTAAAAATGTAAGATGATACTAATAAATATATTATAAATATATAAAAAATTTAATTATACAATGAATATATACATAAATTTAATATTAATAAAACTGTGTTTTATTAATATTAAAAAAAGCAAAATTTGATGTCTGTTGTATTATTTTTGGATATGGATTTATATCTCTATTATTTTGGAATCATATATCTAATCCGAGACAAATTAAATGTATACAAAGAACTCAAAAGCGCTGACTACCAAATTCTCAGTTTCTTATTCTCACGTTCTGGAAATTCAATTTGCTACGCGTTAATAATTACCTGCATCATGCTGACAGCTTAAAGTGCTCTCGTGAGAATATAATAGATCTTGTACTCTTTCTTTGAACCCATAAAATAATAATTTAATTATCTGTTTTTGTATCCTCCATAATATATAGAAACTAAAAATTATTTAATACTAATTCTAGTAGTAAATGCGATAATATGTAAAAATGTAATACAATAATGTAATTTTATCTGTTGTTAATTGAAAGTAAAAAGGAAAAAGATATATTAAAACTTCTATTTTCTATTTTAATACTTAATATCAATCTTTTTTAATTGTTAGTAAATATTAAAGTTAATAGTAAAAGACACACTTAAAAGTATTTTGGTATTTTATTGTAAAATTAATATTTTTTATTCGTTATTCTGCTTGCGAGCATCAATTATTTCGTCAATGTCATCTTTATGCTCCTTCTCATCTTTATGCTCCTCATCTTTATGCTCATCTTTATGTTCCTTGTCGATATCTTCATATTTCTTGTCAATACCATCTTCATGTTCCTTGACAGCATCTTCATGTTCCTCTAATGTCTCAGGTTTAAGAAGATCCTTCTTCTTCGTTGGTAGCCATGGACGCGGTGCTCGGAATTCAAAATCGATTGTCTGTCTTTTATCGCCACTCTCGCAGCGTTTCCTAATTCTCAACAAGAATATATTTGGATTTTCTTCAAGATCGATTGGTTTTACCATCTTTGACTTTTTAACTTCCCTGTTCTCCATACGATAAGGAGCACTCTTGATATCGCCTTTTACGTTTGGATACAACGTGACTGTGCGACATCCTACCTCCTCGCAGGTTTTCTTTGTCGATGGCACGGACGCATCTCGAGGAGTATGACAGAGTTCTAAATTTCCAGGAGCCATATCGAATACAAAACCGTCATCGCACTTTCTTTGGCTCAACGCCGACTCTTTTGAAACTACTTGACCAATGCATTCACATACGGGATCGTACTCCTCTCTGATCGTCTCCTTATTTATCCTGATGATGACACGATTGTCATTGAAGATAGCTTCGATCTCTTTGTGCGGCTGTTGCTTTCTAACAATCTCAGATACAACTGTGTCAGTTGGTTTTTGCTCCTTGTCGCATATTTCAAGGTTTTTCATCTTTGATTTGCTTCTGCTCAGAAACTGCTTGTTCATGCTTTCTTTCGATGCAGAGATCACTGGGCTTACTAGCCTGCGTGAAGGGGTCGAATACATTTTAAATGCATCTACAGCGCAACAATAAGAATATTGTGGAGGGACTGATGATAAGTGTACGGAAGAAATTTTCTTTGAACATGACGATATATGAAGAAAACTTTTATGACTAATGCAGCAACAAGCTTTGTTTTCAGATGTAGCATAGATATGTTTTGGTTTTTTAACAATTTTGGAGTGTATACAACATTGTGCTGTTTGTTTTTGTAAATGATGCAGAGTGCTGTGTGATTGAAAACAGCAAGGTGAATAAGGTGCTTGTAATGTATCTGATTGGTCCAGGGCTCACCGTTTTGATGGACAGCCACAATTATAAGTTGCCGCAATCATTCTTGCTGTTTTGTTGTGTTATATATATGAATAATGGGACTTAATACACACACACACACACATAACATGATGGCAAATTGTTACTTATTAAATTTTGACCGGGTTATCCAAATGGTGACATGGTGCGAATTGATTCAAATAATGTTAGAAATGACAAATCTGCGATGTATTTGTTTTCTAACGCGCAGTATGAATATGTCAAATAAAAGAATCGATTTTAAATAACTGTACTGAATTCCAACCACAATTTTATAAAAATGGGACGTTAAATATATAAATAATTCAAATAATAATCTTTCTGTCAATAAACATTACATTCCACATTTCAAGTTACCCATTAAAATGCAATTTTCTAATGATAAAGGTAAATATAAGAAAAATCTATTTTTGTTAGCTGAAATAAATTTTAATCCAAATTGTTTACTTCAAATTTAATCTAACAACCAATGCCTCATTTTTAAGAAAATACTTTTTTTTGCTATATTTAGTTATAAAATAGGTAAAAAATTAAAAAAAAACAAAAGATTTTCTCTCTTATACAATATTAAATCATAAAATATGTATATTTAATATTATATTTAATATTTTAATATTTTTTAATATTTTAATTTTTTAATATTTTAATATTTTAATGTAATTATATTTAATATTTTTTAAATAAAGCATAAATATTGATATATATATATAAATTTTTTTTACAAGACGTGTGCCTCTGTTCTTCAATAACCCATCTACCTTGTCCGTCATCATGTTCATCACATTCACTCATCAAGGATGCTTGTTCAAAATATTATCAAGAGATTGGAGCTGAGATGATTAGCAATCAGCTGATTATTAGATTAGAGAAAGATAAAAATAAGTCGAAAAAGGAACGGGGAGAATGGGAACCACCTTGTGACTGCGTCGAAATTCAGAGACCGACGCGTAAATCAGGCCCCAAAATAATCAATGCCGATTATGACGATCGCATTATATTTCGCGTTCACTCGTCACAACGTTTACATAAGGAAGATCCTTATAAATCGCAAACTGTTGTCTACAAAGTTTGTCCAATTCAATGTTAAATTTTAAAAAATTGCCTTTTTTTTACTAGCATGAGTAATAAAATAATAAATATTATAAATTAAGTAAAATTCTAAATTATATTGTTAATCAAAAACTGTCATTTCTAATTCTGCATCTATAAATATTTTATATATTT